TGGCCCAAGGTGGCTTCCAGTACTGCCTCCATCCCAGACTCGGTGGCCAGGCCAGGCCAGACAGTGACGGGGCACCTCTGATGACCACAGTGGGTGTCTGTGGTGCACTGGGGCCTGGCCCCCACAGGAGCTGTGGAGGGGGACAGACCACGGTGTGACCCTGCCCTGCAGTGGCCCCAGGGCATGGTGGCAGGTCCTAGTGGCACGCAGCGAAGCCAGTGGGCAGACTGATTGAGTTCCCTGTTTTCCAGAGGAACGTGGGGCCCTGGGTGCAGGCAGGGGTGGGTGGGTGCCTGTCTTCCCACGGTTCTGCCTCCAAACTAGCCAGGGTTAACCTCGAACCTGGCTGTGCTGAGTGACTGTAGCCCAAACCTGACGGAGGCAGAGCTGGGACTCAGGAAGCACCAGTTGTAGGCCCAGCCCCTGACCCGCCGGGGGTCCTGGTTTCTAGAAGAGGCCCAGGATGCTGTGCCCCATGGGCTCCTAGGTGCTCCGAGCAGGGTCCCAAGCCAGTGCTGACTGGGTCTGTCCCCTTTTGGGTCAGGAGCCCTTTGGGAACTTGGCGCATAGTGAGTTATCTAGCTGCGAAAGCCACAGGCTGGGTTTTGCAGGTTTTCCCTTTCTCTTGCTTCTTTTTGGGGTTAGAGGCTGGGGCTGCCCTAGCCGGACAGAGGCCCGGTGACGGCACCAGGCTTCTGCTGCTTCTACAGGAAGGCTCTTGGGCTGGCCCCAAGACTAAGAGCCTGGGTCCCACACGGCTGCACATGGTTCAGATCCTGTCCCCGTGGCTTGAGAAACACGCCGGGCGCTTTGCAAGCCCCAAATCCCGAAGGTGGAGAACAGGAGGAGGGGCGTGTGGTGTGGCAAAAGATGGCTCTTCACTCCAGAGGGCTTTCTGTGCAGCGCTGTCACCCCCAGGGGTGGGGCTGGACTGCGCCGGGGCAGTCGGGCAGACATGGCTGTCCGCTCGGGGCGCTCCTCAGGGCCTCGCCCGGAAAGGCCGGCCGTCTCCCTGACCCACAGGCTCAGTCCCCCTTCAGACTGGCCCACCCTGTCTCCCCGAGCCGAGCACTGGGCGGGCTCTTGTGGTCG